ACAATGACTCCCTCATCTTCTCATGTTAATATAAGACCAAATGTGCTTCAGCCATTGATGCAACCCCAGCAGACTCGGTTAGATCATTATGTAGATGAGAGCACCTTTGGTCCCAGGGTAGTCCAGTTTCCTACTGAGCAAAGCTATAATTCCTATCAGGTTCAGGTCTCATCACCAGTGGTAGGAGGTGCTTATGGCTGGCATCAGGTTCCACCACCAGAGCATGTGATTTTTCATGATGGTTTGGTATCCCACCAACAGGTAATGTATCCTGAGAAATCCCAAAGGTTGGAGGACTGTTATATGTGTCAGAGAGCATTGCCTCATGCACATTCTGATACTTTGGTACAGGTTCATAGAGACAGTGGTGGAAGCCCAGTATCTGATTCAAATTCAACTTTTCATAGTCCCCGCCTGGAGGACAATTTGCGGGCTCAACCAATGAACATGGTTATGGTAAGTGGAGCATTAGCAGAATGTAATTTTGGGCAAGGAGTTGAGGCTCGACTCAGGGTCCAAGGTCAAGTAGATCCTCTTGTTGGAACATCTCATTCAGAGGTGACTGGGATCTCGCAGATTTCTGAGGGAACTCGTGAAAATGAGAGAATGAATCTTCCACAAGTTGATCTTCCAATGATTTCAGCTCCCCATGGTGTTATCAGGAGAGGAGGTGACATACAGTCACCAAATAGTGCATTCATGGTCGCTATTCCTCAGCGTTGTCAAGATGATGCTGTTCAACAACATTCTAAGCCATTCCAGTACCAGGTTAAACAGGAAAATTTAGTTAATGATCCTTTTAATCAAGATGTACCTCTTGTTGGAGGCACACCTGTACAAACTTCAGAATGCCTGGTTCATGAATCTCCAACTGCATACCCCAACAAATTTCCTGGAGTTATTCCAAAAGAAGACAATGTAGACACTTGCATTGCATATGATCATCCAGGACAAATTGACGGGAGAATGGAGACCCTCAGGATAAGCCCCACTGAGGTTTATGTTAATAATGAGCATGGGAAGTCCCCCATTGATACGCCTAGAGTGGAAGACAGCTTTGACCATAAAGCACCACAAGTTGGGGGTAGGGAGGTGACTCTAGATAACACTGTTGGCAGGAGTCACTTTAAACCAACCGAAGTAGTGGCTTCTTCCCCTGCCGAAGTCTCACATGGGTATAATTCGCAGCCTGTAGAATTCTTTGAGGCGGCACAGCCATCTATGTGGGGAAATCCTGAATCTTACCCACAATCAAGAGTTGGATTCCATCCTCAGGATGCTTATGAATTTAACTATGGCAACCCTGTTGTTTCTACCCATATAACTAATGGAATTCAACCTCCTGCTGAATGGAAGGATGAGAACTTAAGATTGCAGTCCAAGATGGTACCTAATGATGTGGACGGTGTGACCTCAAATGATGCTGTTCCCCAGGAATCCTCAAACTCACTGTTCAGCAATCAGGATCCTTGGACTTTGCACCACGATACTCATTTGCCTCCTAAACCAACCAAAATACAATTGAGAAAAGAACCATTTACAGAAATGCGAATGGATGATGGGGGTCAGCAGTCACTGGGCAATTTGAACAGGGATCTTAGTTCAGAGCCTGCCCAGTCTTCCAAAGGTTAGTTAAATGTTGATTTATTTTTACTTTAGTATTAAGTTAATTACTTAATTAGAATGTTGTTTTGTTTCTTTGTCATAGGATCAGCCGAGGAACAAATAAAGCAAGAACTTCAAGCTGTTGCTGAGGGAGTAGCTGCCTGTGTTTTTCAGTCATCTTCGCCGTCAAATCCTGACTTACATGATAAAGATGAGTATGCTTATCAATCCGATCAAGATGAAGATGTTCAAAACAATACTGCAGGCATGCAAAACAGAGCAAAAGTTGAGGTATTTAAGAAGCCATCTATGTGCATGTTTGAGCATTTTCATTGGTTGTGTGTGTACTAGTTTCTCTCTCTCTCTCTCTCACACACACACACACGCACACACTTTCAAACATTTGTTGGACTCTCCTAATTTCCATTTTCTATTTCAGGATGTCAAGACCAAATTCGGAGATAAGGCAAATCTTGGTTTTCCAGTATCAGATAGCCGAGGCCGATTGCAGGTGAAAATTTGGTTTTCTATTTTTCCTTATTCTGAAATTGTGATGTTAACTTGTACCATTGACCCGTTTCTACTCTTTTGGTAGATTATAAAGAACAGTGACCTTGAAGAGCTGAGAGAATTGGGTTCTGGAACTTTTGGTACTGTTTACCATGGGAAATGGAGGGGCACTGATGTTGCAATTAAAAGAATAAATGATAGGTGTTTTGCTGGGAAGCCTTCAGAACAAGAGCGCATGGTTTGTCTTTTGCACTAGATTCCAAAAGCTATTAATTTTTGTTTATTAATACCTCACTTACATAATCAGAGAGATTTTGTATTCAATCAGAGAGAAGATTTCTGGAATGAGGCCATCAAACTTGCTGATTTGCACCACCCCAATGTGGTAGCTTTCTATGGCGTTGTGCTTGATGGGCCGGGAGGTTCTGTGGCAACAGTGACAGAGTATATGGTTAATGGCTCTCTCAGAAATGCCTTGCAAAAGAATGAGAAGTAATGTGTTTGTTTGGCTTTTTTTTTTTCCTTGCATTAATTTGATGAAATTAGAATGAATGCAGTAGTTGACTAGTTGGTATGTAATTTCCAATTGGATAAAAGGTGACGCAGAATTTATTTTAGCAGGAGTCTGGACAAGCGCAAGCGTCTCTTGATTGCAATGGATGTGGCATTTGGGATGGAGTACCTGCATGAAAAGAATATAGTACACTTTGATTTGAAAAGTGACAACTTACTTGTCAATCTTCGAGATCCACACCGCCCAATATGCAAGGTAAGTGATTGGAATGTTGGTCATTCTCATTGTGGTCCGTTCTGTGGTTGATGTGATCTTTCTTTTCGTATAATAAGCCACAATCTTTTTAAAATGCAGTATCATTTTCGAGAGCATGCATTTGTTGTTGAAAACTAAAGGAAAATTAATGCTTCTTGTGAGCTGAACAAGAGCAAAAATAGAGCACTTTTCCGCCTTTAAACTTTAAATAGAATTACTCTTTGAATTATCGTACCAAGTTTCGGCTATGTTTTTTTTCTTCTCTCTTTTTGTTGTAGAACTTAATTAGATGATAAAGCTTTGTCTGGATGGGAATGAGTCGAGCTTGGCCTACTTCACTTGATTTCTCATATGTTATAATGTGCCTCTTTTTGTTGATATGCTTTTATTTTCAGCAGTATCACTGTATTGGCGATATGCAGTTCAAAACATTGATCCAGTGTGACATGCTCTGTATTTGGTTGAACTGTTTATAAGATTGAGTTTACCATCTGCTTCTGATGCCAGGTTGGTGACTTGGGCCTATCTAAAGTGAAATGTCATACACTGATCTCCGGTGGTGTGCGGGGAACACTTCCATGGATGGCACCAGAACTGTTGAATGGTGGCAGTAGCCTTGTTTCTGAGAAGGTTTGTATTTTCTTTTTTAATTTCTTCTAGATCATCTCAAATGATTGTGAATCTCTCTTAAACCTGTTTTTATTGTTTAGTTATTTACCCATGGTTTTTTTGGGTACACACTAGGTAGACGTGTTTTCTTTTGGTATTGTGTTGTGGGAGCTCCTCACTGGAGACGAACCATATGCAGATTTGCACTACGGTGCTATCATAGGTGATCTTCTACTGCTTAATTAACTTGTCACTTGTAAAACATGCTCAGTCCTTTTAAGATTTTACTCGGATTTAGAGATGCCGATAGCCAGTTCTTCATAATATAATGCAGGAGGTATTGTGAGCAATACATTGCGGCCACCAGTCCCAGACTCTTGTGATCCAGAATGGAAATCACTGATGGAGAGATGCTGGTCTTCGGAGCCAACTGAGAGGCTGAACTTCACTGAAATTGCAAACGAATTACGTGCTATGACCGCAAAGATTCCTCCTAAAGGACAAAGCCAACCGCAGCAACCCCCCTCTACACAGCCTCAGATTCAAAAATGATATATCAGTAAAGTTGCATCATCATAGATGTCTCTCCCATCATCCCATGGGCCTTTATTTGGGTGTGTGTTTGAGGCTGTTGGAAGATAACTAATGTGTCTTGTTTTAATGTGATAGGGGAAGAAGCCGTTTCATTGCTCTACAGAAATATTTACATCTTATAGAAGTGTCAACTCAGTTAGGTTTGCCTTTGAATCAAGTGTTTTCTATCACGTTTTGACACGTCAATACAAGCACGAGGATTGGATTGGTTTGTATGCATTTTTTGCGTTGGCTTCATCATTTTGGATTGGATTGGATTAGGTAGGAAGCAACTTTCAATATTTCCCATAGTCTACTGTTGCGTACCATAACAGACATAGTCTGCTGTTGCGTACCATAACAGACAAAGGAGCGAAGTTGGTTGGTTTCATGGGTTATGCTTAACAAGGTACATGAACAAACATTTGGACATGATCGTTTCGTTCCTTGAGATAAGAACCAGAACCAGGAAATAAATTTCTTATGGAATCTATTAATCAACTGTTCAAATAAGAAACAGGTCGTCCTACAGTAAGACGTGTGCGTATGTTGTGTTTTTATTTTATTTTTTGTGGGTATTAATTAATGAAAGCCGAAGCCCAAAAATTCCGGACGCGTTTCGATCGCTACGTTTGGGCTTTCCTTGTCAAATATTGTTTCCCATTACGACACCACGTAGCAACTGAGCCGGTCACACCACTAGTCAAACCTTATTGCATCCCATACCACAACAATTCCTTGTTTTGTTTTATTTCGGAATTCTATTTCTTCACTAGCAAGGTTTAAGCGCGATGAGCAACAAGTTTTAGCACCAAGTTCTTTTCTTTCTTTGATATTTCCTCATTTTTGTTTCCCTTTTGGAACTCTCCTCTATCGCTTCCCCTATTATTTAAGACCTTTCCATTCCGAGTCTTTCACCCTAGATTACATTCTCTCTTTCTCTCTGCTTAATGATTATGGCGATGGCTAGTAACAATGAACACAAACCAACCTTGATCATGAACCACACTTCGATCTACGAGTATGAACGTGATGAAGGAGAAGACTTGGATGACTATCATCAAGACCAGGATGCTTCTTCTTCTTCTCCTCCTTGCGGTGTTGGTGGTTGTTTTGGCCTCTTTGGGTTCACATCATGTACATGGCGGCAAAACCACAACAACGATTATGAACGTAAATACTTGCTGCAGCAAGGTGGATGGCACAAGGAGACGACATGTTGGTGGAGGAAGAAATTGAACAAGGCTAAGGAGTCTACTCAAGTATTGGACGGCTCCAAGTGGAAGACCTTCATCAGAAAGATTGCTGGATATTGCAAGACTATGAAGCGAAAACAAAACAACAGGTTGTCCAAGAAACAAAAGAAAAAGAATACTAGGTTTCAGTATGATCTTCATAGTTATGCTCTCAATTTTGATGGGGGTGTTGCTAGAGAAGGAAATGATGCTGCTCTTGATTTCGCAGTAAGGTTTGCCGCTCCTTTGTCCAATGAGCATGGTTCCATTGGCAGGCCGGTTCATGAAACCACCCTTGAATCAGCTTTTATTGAATCCAAACGTTAGATTGGGTGTCGTTTGTGTTCTCTTGTTTCCTTCTTTGATAAGTTAATTGTGCGCTGTTATGAATCATACCAAAATCAAGTCTGTTTTTTTGTTGTACTTTTGCCTTAAAATTTCAATTTCACATTAAGGCTTTTGGAAAACTACACTGCAAAATTCTAAAACTCACAAGGAAGCAAGGCGCTTGTGATAAACAAACTTCACCACCCAGAATTCGTAATGGAAAGCGGCACACAACTAGTGTTGTTTGCCGCGATTCACTCAAAACTACTGATACCAAATTTCTACAGGATGTAACACATCAAAACTACTGATATCAAATTTCTACAGGATGTAACACATCAAAACATCCATAAACTGCTATAGACAACTGTCTTTGTAGTAGCCATTCTCATCCATAGAAATTAGAAATTATATAGAAAGCAAACGTTTAATTTAGAAACGCTTAGTATACAAAAATTCTATATCTAGCTAGATCCGCATAAACGTGGTACAAAAAGGCTACCTGGTTCGAGTTTTTCGTGTTACATATGCGTAAAGTTTTATGAGATGGTACATCAGACATCAGGATGCCCTTCATTTTCTGGTCTAACCTTTTACTGTATCAGAAATACGAAGTTCCTTGCGGCCTGTTTCGGTGTGGCCAAATATTTGCTCTCTCACTGATGCTAGACTTTCTTTTTTCTTTTTTCCATAAGTTGAGGACTTGTTAAGTGTCACACACATTTACTTCAATCGTTGGCTGCTGACGTCACCTGCATTACTTTTTTTCCAAATTACAAATGAAAAAAAAAAAAATTATATAAAGTTCATGAAAGCAAAACTTATGCGAACAAAACGACCATATATGTTAAAGGAAATACAATCCTACCTCTTGCGTTTGCTCTTCAAAACAGAAGTTGAGGAAATGTTACTGTGCCAATTCCTTTTTCTTTGATTTATGAACCAGTTATTGATCTGTTTCAATTGCAAGCCTGTTTCCTGCACCAACCTGGCTTTGTCTTCCTCCTATTCCAAGCGAAAGACGGTTTTAATAGCCATTTTTAAAAGAATTAATTTGCTAAACAGAAAGCTACAAGGGGATTTATCAAAGTTGAAACTCACCGTAGGGTAAGGCCACTTGGAATGTGATTGCCACCAAGATTTTAGGACAGAAGTGGTGTCACCTGGCAGTTTACCTGCTCTTCTCTTGCGTAGAATTTCCTCCCTAATGTCTACAATCTTTTCCTTGTAACCCTGAGAAGCAGATGTTATTAGCTACATTTCTATATCCCATCTGGCAAATATATTATTATACATGCTTTGCAAGTCTTGTAGTTCATATACCTGTTTCAGTTCATGCTTCAATTCTTGCCTTACACGCTCCATTAAGGACCTCTCACTCTCAGTCGGAACGAGAGGACCGAATCCCATGGTGTCAGGCCCGTCCAGGCTTCCATCATACGAGTTGATGTCACTGTCGACCTGGTCATCGTCGTCGGACATTGTAGCACCGGTGCCTTCACCCGTGGACACACCTGTGAATGCATCTCGAGCTGTTCAGTTATAAACCATTCGTAAACTTAAGCCAGTTATCTGCTGTACATGTAGAAATATAAAAAGAAATAGAAATGACCTGTTAAGCTTTGTAGAGATTGATCGAGCTCCCAACAAGCCATCACTGCTTCCATGGCATGAACTCGGACATGTTGCTGCAATTGTTCTTTGAAGGAGCATAGCAGTAGAACATAGTTTGTCTACAGTAGCAGAATGAACAAAGACAACAAGGGAAGGTGAGAAAGAGAAAAATATAAAAAACAATTTAATCTTAGCAGACTAAACCATTTACATCAACAAGACTCGATACTTATTTGCAGAACAGATTCTAATTCCGTGGCATGTCACTAATCAAAACTAGTAAGTGGGGGAAATATGACACAAATTAATTAAAGAGTAAAAGATTCTCCAAAGCACTTGTAAAGTTGAATAATTGGAGAATTGAACAACAGGATTCTTCGTTGCCACTGAAACTAATTACATGACACTCTGATTATTATTTTGATCAACCAAATTTGCACTTTCCCACTAAAATATCGAGACCCGAAATAAATAAAGTTTTAGACTTTCAACAACAACACAAGAAAAAAAACATCATAGGAAATGAAAAATTCAGTGTTGAAAGAGATTTAATTTAAACAAACTAACCATGAATAAATCAAGTTCTTTCTCATCCATGACTTGGACATCCCCATTGGCTCGAAGCGCAGAGTACTTATCCACCACGCGCTGCGACTGCACGAGCTGCTCGTCGATCCTCGGCAGCTGATCGACGGGGGTGGCGATCCTCAAGCACGAGACGTGAGCCGATACAAGCTGCTCGTACAGAGGGTGGCCCACTAAGTCCGCTTTGAACCTCGCGCTCTCGCACTCCAGTTCGTCTTCTTCCTCCTCTTCGCCGTCGTAGCCGCTTATCTCTCTCCGGTTCCGGCCGCTGCAGTTGCTGCTCTTCCCCGACGGTGATATGACGACGTCGTCGTTTCGCGCGTCGTGGAGGAAGCTGTTCTGTTGTCGAAACGCGGCGTTGTTGAGCCACGTCGGAGCTCCGGAGAGCGGCGGCTGGTCCGAGGCGAAGGAGTGGAACGCCATTTCTGGAGGGTTTTGCTGCTGCTGGTGATGATGATGATGATGAAACGCCATTATTTTGGTCTTTGCAATTAAATTGTAAAAAAAACGCAGAGAGAGCTTTAAGTTTCAGTACATAGAAGAAAACGTGGTTCGGAAAAAAGCAGTTTTTGGAGCTGAAAGAGAGAGAGAGAGAGAGGTAGGAAAAAAAAAAAAAATTGTGTTGTTTTGAGTTGGAGAGAAAGTGGTGCTGTTAAAAGTTTGAAACTTGAATGCTTGATTAAGCAATTAAAGGAGTGCAGAAGCTCTTTTTTTGGGAGAAGACGACTTTGTTGAGTGATGGATGGGTGACGCAAGGACCGAGGAGGATGTTTTGACGGTGAGATAGAGTACCACGTGGCGAAGTAATTGGGAGTTGCAGTTGCCAGTAAATAAGACAAACATTGATGGATTTATTGATGATTGTAAATTGTAATGTGTTGTAGACTTGCAGTAGTCGTAGCAAGTAGCCATTTGATGTATAGAAAGCATCCAACGGTGAAGATTTGATGGAAAAAACTTATAGAAATGTTTTGGACCGTTTGGTGGCATTTTGGTCATTGTGATTGTTAATTGCTCCATACTTTACCCCTTGGGATATCTGACGTACCAATATTTTGGAGGCATATAATATATATATAAGTTAGATTTTGTAGTGTTGCAAGAAGTTTCTTACATGATTTTGAGACAAGTTTCCACCACCCCCTTCATATGCAGGAAGGACAGCACAGCAGTCGACAATGAAATCGTTTTATATAAAATAATATTATTTTAAAATGGTTGAGAGAGAGGAAGGAAAAGTAGGGAGGAGGAGGAAGCAACTTTTCTCCTTTATTTTTTAATTTTGTCAGAAGCTACTTTTCTCCTTTAACCCTTGGGTTACGCTCTCAAACAAGATAGCTTTACAGGACAAAGACAAAATAGCAAGACACCGCTCAATAAAATATTCATAACAAATCTATCTATTTACCTGCTCTGCTCTGCTCTGCTCTCATGTAAACTCATATATATGATGTTTAATAACCGCACATCATTTAATCCTTCTCGTGAGAAATCATCGTGATTAATACATAATGATCAAAGCTCTTTCATTAACTGTCTTAATATTTATTTTGATGTATGGATGAATGCAAGGAAAGGAACACAGTTTGCATTGGTTGACAGATGTGGCGGAAGTCGTTAGATTTTCCTTCCTTCTTTCTTTCTTTCTCTCTTTCTCTCTTATATGGGCACTGGTGATTACAGCGGAGACAGTTTACCAAACTCGGAATGACGTTTCCTTTTGTGTTCCTCGTCAGACAGTCGTCAGTTGTCCCTACCGAAGCACAGCGACCTCAGACCCGTACAAGCACACGTGTCCGCAGTAGGTTTCATGGACCACTTGGGAATACACGCCACTGTCAGAGAATCCTGTTCGTACAGCTGTAAAAAAGCAGGGGGAAGATGGGGACCACCTGCCCGTTGCAAATGCGAATAGAGTCACTCATGAGAGACGACTCCACAGTCGTAGATTGGAGAGGAGAGAGGAGAGAGGAGAGAGAGGCGCTGGCGGCTGAAGTCACTCACAAACAGCAAATGAGCAGGCCCTTCACGCTCGCCTGTACGTGGTCCCCACCCTATACCTATATGGAGAGAGGCTACTATTATCTATGACATGTTCTACTACGTAAATGCCCGGAAGAAAAGAAAAGGAAAGAAAAGGGGGTTCCTCTTCGTCGTTTTATGCTTTGGGTCTGCAACTGTGGGTCCCAATGTCAATGTGGCGCTGATCCAAGTTCTCTGTATAATGGTAATAGATACTGTAGTTGGTTTCCTGAAATTGACTCGTGCTAGTTTCAAACTAGTATTTATTATCTAATTTGGTTAATGAGCTCTGAGGATTAAACTTTTGGTTAATGAAACAAATTTGTGGAAATGTTAAAAGTGTAATGAGAAGTTGATTTGATTTCGATTCTTTGGGCAATGACCCGATGAAGGGGGAGAAAAGGTCACATCTCCTGGTTGTATGTTTTGTTTTGTAACTTTTCTTTTGGGGAAGAAAAGAAACAAGGGCTCCGCTCATGCCCATGCTCATGCCCATGCCCATGCCCATGCTCATGCCCATGCCCATGCCCATGCCCATGCCCATGCCCATGCCCATGCCCATGCCCATGCATGCACAAGTCAGCAGTGGTACTACAGTCTACAGACTTAGAGATGGATGGATGGATGGGATGCATCCAAAGGTTAAATGAATCAGTGGCCCCACCCCCCTAATGGTAATCTTGGATCTTATCCCTGCACTGCACTGCATCATCAACTACATACATACATAGCACAACACTCCACTCTCTTTCTTTTCCACTTTTTCTAAATTCTTTGCCAGCCAAGTATCTATCTCTCAACAGGAACAGAACAGAGCTAGGCCCAGACAAACTTCAAGGAAAAGCCCAACTTACATTTCATCCTTCCTCTATCACTCACTCTGCTGCAACTGAGCAAAGTTAGGTCCATAAAAACTGAAACATATCAAATTCTGAGTCCAATTCTTATTCTGGTGGGTGGACAAATATTCACTGCTACTCTATGAATATGAAATGAGGAGGAGTTCATGGTCCAACTCCAAGGTTTTTCTATCTTAATTGCACTTATCTTCTCCTTAAACAAACCAACACCTTAACATAACTGGTATTATCAAATCAATTGAGCTCAGATCACAACCTATGTTCTCGCTTATCCTCTCACCAAGAATTCTATAGTGAGAGCTTTATATATGGCCCTTAGGTGATGACCTCTCTCTTAACCGTTAGATCAAATTGGTTAGCCGTTGAATCAAATTGATTAGCCTGATTCAACGGTTAACAGATAAGACCTTAACTAAGGGTCATATATATAAGTCCCTCACTATAGAATGACTATCCTCCACATGATTTGTGAGTTTTCCCTTGAGTTGATCTATCATCTAACCTTGAGATTGTGCCACAAAATGTAAATATAGATTAGAGTATCACACACTCATGCTCTCTGTAAGCTGTACAGCTTGCATTATATGCATCAAAAGAGGTCTGTAAATCCTTAAATTCGTTTCACTGGGATCAGATTGAACATCATTTTCTGCCACTAAAAGATGCAAGTCCAGTAATATAACACAATTTTCATGCATCAAATGCATGAAGCATGTACTGTGCTCATTCCAAAATCTTTGCAGAAGAAGATTTACATACAATTACAAGGCTCTCAACAAAATCATTGAATCGGCGCACAATAATAACAGATATATATATATATATGTATGTATATATATGATGCAATTAAGGAAGACTAGGAGGAGAAAGGGAAGGCTTTGCCACTTTAAGCTCACCACAGTCACTGATATACACTGTTTTCAGAGGCTTGTTCCACAAAGCCCGAGCATTCATCGCTCTCTCATCCCCAAGAAATTCTGCAAAATCGTTGAATTGCTGTATTTTCTCAGATGGTCTGTATGTAGGTATAGCAGCAATGGCCGTCACAACATCCAAACCTTCATAACCAAAACCAAAACACAAATTTAACTAACCAAGCTCAAATTTTGAAAATAATAAAAATCAAATCTTGCAGAAAGAGTAAACCTTCGAGCACTGAGCCGAAGACGATGTTCTTGAAATCGAGGTCGGGGCATGGGCCGGGCCCAGAGGTGATCAAGAACTCGACGTTTCGGTAATCCGGGTCGAGCTTGATGTCGTCTTCGTCGTCGTTCTCGGAGAGGTTGAGGGAGAGGAGGCCGGGGCGGGAATGGGTCAGAGCAAAGGCCTTGGAATCGACGGTCTCGGTATTTCGGGCGAGACCCGTGGGGCGGCGGACGTCGCCGGGCTTGTCGCCTTGGTGGCCGGCGAGGAAGAATTGGCCGGGGAAAAGCTTGTGGACGAGAGTGCCCTTGTAGGCGGAGGAGGTGCACATGGACTTGAAGTTGGAGACGGTGAGGGGGACGTGGTGGCCGTACAGGCCGAGGACGAGCCGGCCCAGCGGGAGCGAGTCGGGGCAGAGTTCGGGTTTTGAGTCGGGTGAGGATAAGGGGCGGAAGTAGGTGGGGCAGAGGCTGAAGTCCATGAAGACGCGGTCGGTAATGGTGGTGTCGGGTGGCGGAAGAGATGCTGCAGCGGACGATGGTGGTGGCTGGAGGGTGAGGGAGAGTGGTGCGTAGAGGAGGAGGGAGCGTCGGGTCAAGTGTGTAATGGACTTCGGGTTCGGGTTCGGGGGGTGGTGGTGGTTGGAGAGAATGGGTGGCAGACCGGATGGTGTAGTCACAGAGTAGCCCATTAGGCTCCGGTTGGTTGGGTTGGATTGGATTGGGCATGCTTTTGATTTGGGGCTTTGGAGGAGACAGAGAGACAGATAGCCAGCCACGGAGGGGGATGGTGGGGCCTACTTTTGGATAATTAAATAAGGTCGTAAAATTATGGTTTATTTATTTATTATTTATTATGTTGAAGTACATTGTAAATTTTCTTTTCGCAAGTAGGAAGCTTTGGCTGGCATGGGTTCTTTGAGTTCAATAAAAAGGTACAACTCTGAATCTCTCCCCTAATTTTGGCACTTGAATCAATCCGCATGTTGTTTTGAAATGATAGTATTATTTGTTTGATCATCTGTGAAGATAATTTGCCTGTTAGTCACTGTTTATGTAATCTGTGTGTGTGAAGATAGGGCAGTTGTGTTTTCATTTCTGCTATCATGCTATGGGATGGGATGGCCTGATTAAATTTGGGGTAACTGTTCTGTTTCGGCTCTGCAAGGAAATTTGAAAAGTAAATTTGGTTTCGTAATCTTCATATTTACCATTTGGTTAATTTTGAGTAAGCTTAGTAGCAACCTGGTCCAGAGCATTGCTCTATACTTGCTGAAATGTAGTGAATGATGCAGAATTCTAGCCTTTTAGGTCACCTTTTCTTATTTTCGCCCACAAACTAAAACACAGGAGAAAAAAAGAAAGAGAAAAAGTTGCTGGGCTTCCTGCTTCCTCCCAAGTATTCTGCTGGCTGGGTATATCACAAAGTAGGAGTTGCTCTGCTTCCTTACCAAATTGAAAAGAAAGAGATCCTTCTTCCAATGCCCAAACTTGAAGGTGTTTTGATGTTGTAGTACATATGTTAGAGTGGGCGGTGTGGGCTATATCACCATATAATCTGTATGTACGAAATGACGCTGCTAGAGGATTTCCTACCATTTGTCAAAATGGTGCCATTTATGAAGAAGAAAAGTCAATCTGGATGGGATGGGATGGCATGGCTGTGTCTCTGTCAAAAACTTGAGGTAAATAGAAAAGGTGTATACCAAAGAGGAATCATATCCTATAAAAAAGAGAAAAAAGAGGAAGCATATCAGTCTTTCCATCTTGAGGGACATATTAATAGAGGAAGAAAAGTTTGTTGAGATGTGTTTGTGTGTGTATATATACATAGAGAGAGAGAGACAGACACAGAGAGGTGCATGTTTCCTTGATCCCCTATACAAATCTGTCATTGTTCTTTGTTTTCAAGTTTGTGCTTATGTGTGTGCTTAAATGATCTATTCCTTCAAATTTTCTTTTGCCCAATAGTATTGCATTGGATATGATGAATACAATGCAAAGAATAGGCAGTGCAGATATAGAGATGAACAATGCAAAGAAATAAAAATAAGCACTCACCAACTAATACCAAAAGGTTGCCGTGTGTCAGGCCAGCCTTTCGCCGGCAGACTACCCCCGTTGGTTGCTTAACTGTCAAAGCTTCCTTAGTGCTAGGAGATTCCCTTTGTACTGAAACAGGGAGCTAAATGTATGATTCTTTCTCAAGCCTATGTATGTGTTCATATGATGAAGCATATATTGAGTGTTGAACTAATGATTTATTCGTAGGAGAATCAAGAATGAGTTCAGTTAATTTGAATAGGATTCCCGTGAAACATGTGCAGAGGCCTGGGATATTTATTTTGGCTTTCTTGTTTCTCCTTTTATCTTGTGTAGAAGATAATTAAAATGGGTACTTTAACATTCATCTTGCTCCTACTTTCTGGCAGGTAGAAATGAGAAAGAATGACATGCTTTGCTGCCAACCATTGCATTAGTGGCCAACTCATCCATACATTGCATATTAGCATATAAAAAGTGGCAATTTTGTCAGTTCCTGTGGCTGCTGCTTTTGCTAATATAACCATCAACAGATTAATACAGATATCTAATGATAAAAAACACTTAACTCAAAAGCTGCAAAGATAGTCAGCAGCAGCAGCAACAAAGGCAGACATAAAAAGCTTTCTAGCTGCATCCGTGGATTCAATTCAACTTAAAAGCTCCAAAGTTTGAGCTAGCTTTTGGAGTTTGGATAAAAACAAAGTTCCTTCATGCGCCTCAGAATCCACTATCTGCAGATTAATGGCAACAGAAGCTGATATTCCAGAAGCTATATCTGTCACGGTAGGGTATTCTAGAATCTTGATCACTCTAACTCAAATAGCTTACTCTGTTTTTCTATAATCTTATGATCTTTGTATGATATAATTATATCTTATAATTATGCGTTATAGTATAATTGTTCTCGTTGATGAAATATCAATCACAATCATATGTCAAGAACAATTCAGGAGAAGTTCAAGAAAATCTTTTGATTTTGAAAACAAATAAATCCAATTCAAGAGATCCACCAGACAGTCAAGAACAATAAAAAAAAAAATCAACCATTAAATTCTGCTTAAATGAAATAAAATAAATCCGCTTCAAGAGAATCCTTACCGGACTTGCATTGTGACATGGAATCTGGGATGGCAGGACCAAGCGGCAGCTTTAGACTGGAAGATGACTGAGATTGCACAACTGGAGAGAAACAAGTGCTCATCATGTCAAAGGAACCCCTATTTGTTGCACTGGGACATGACTGAGGAGTTGGACAAGTTACATTGTTCCCGTACAAGAGCTGTTGCTCCTCGCGAATTGTCAAAACTTCATTATCATTCTTTGCAACGTGTTATACTGCCAATTCTGCTTCCAAAAAACCTTTGCTTGTATCCTCAGACTCCATATAAGCATAAGTATCATCGAACTCCAACACAATCCTATTCAAATCAAACAAGTCAACAGAACCTAAATTTGTGTCTCTAATTCCACTGCAATTATGTACTTCTTCCGTTATGGGCAACTGTTGCAGTGGAAGTAGAGACACAAATTTGGGTTCTGTTGACTTGTTTGATTTGAATAGTTTGATGATACTTATGCTTATGGATACAATCATAGGTTTTTTTTTTGGAAGAAGCTGCGCTGCTGCGCGAGGAAGAAGAGAAGAGCGAACGCATGTTTAGAGGAATAAACCTTTTTTCTTTTTTTTTCTTTTTTTTTTTGAGAGAGCAAATCCATTTTTTAAGGAGCAAACTGTGCTGTGCGTTTTTAATTGTTCTCAAAATGCATATAATTTGGTTACACGCATTTAATAAAACCATGATAGATGCAATATCAGTTTGTGTTATTTATATTATTTTAAGAGTGGTGCTAAACGAACCCTAAAATTAACTGAGTACACCTATCATCTAAGTACACCCTAATATTTTCATCAAAATATAAACTTAACTATGTACACCCTATTTAAGTACCAAAAATACCCATAGTAAACCCTAATACACTCTATCACACAACCCTAATACTCTGTATAACTCTTCAACATCACACATATCTATAATTAATTTCCCAATAAGCACCCATGTTCATGTTATAATTCTGAATATCATAATAAATATTTCTCCGGGGGATATCTACTATGACCTACCATTTTTAAGGACACAAAATTATGGATTTTTAAATCCCAGCAATATCTTGCTGTGTCTAAAGAAATTCTATGTAAAACCACTATAAAAGAACAGTTGGTAGTTCCATATGGCACTCGCCGCTAGTCCAAGAAAGTTACAAATTTACTAGGACTAGTTACTTCACATTTTGATGTTGCTTGGCTTCATCCACAATGTGTTTCAGACCGGAGACTTGCTCAATGTTGTGGTCATTCTTTTGGAATTTTTCATTCTCTTTTATTCCAGCCATCCTACTTGCAAATATGCAATTGCGCCTCTGTCAGTGCTCACTGGGTTGTTTGCTGTATGAAAACTTCTCTACGTTTGATTAATGTTGAATATGGTGAGTAGGGTGTACTTATTAAAATTATATATTTTTTTCACAATTTAATATATCCTTTTTGGTCATTTTATATTAGGATAAATTAGTAATTCAATAAGTAGTTTGGTAGTATGGTGTACTCAATTAATTTTAGGGTTCATTTAGCAGCACTCTATTTTAATCGCCCGTATTTAACTAAATCCTAGTAAAGATAGGAAAACAATTAACTTAATAATTTAATATGGCTAAAACTTAGCCCTTTTTGGCTAGGATGGACGCTGTACGCATCGGAAAGAAGAGGTGGGGAGTTTTGGCGTATCGACGAATATGGCATACCCCTATCTGTATCCTTGCAACATAGGCTGCCATGGCCCTCAAGAGAAGAGCTTTCAATATCAAGATGGATGAGTGATATTCTTTCCTGTTCCTAAATTATAATCTGTTTGGTTCGTATTATGGCTCACCAACTTGGTGTAGTCTGTAAAGTCTGTTGACTGTAGCTGTATAGATGTAGCTAGTAATATCAGCTAGGATCCTGCATCATCTATGTGTCTATTTGTGTGTGTAGAGTACGTGCTTTGTGAAACATATACCTCCCCACCATCCCCCAATCCTCCTTTGTCTTTGTCAGTGTAGGAGTTGAACCTCTAACCCCACGCCTGGCCTGTCTACATTTAAAAGAGAGATCGTAATAGGTGAAACAGAGGAGACTGAGTTCCTTGTTCCGTTTGATGAATGGTTCTTAAAGGAGGATGAGGAAGATAAAGGCGGAGCTTGTGGAGATATAACAGATATTCAGAAGTACGTCTGAGATGAGAGACACTTTCTACGCAACAAAAGGGCATTTGAGCCCAACATATATTGGTATCTTTTGTGTGCAATTTGTGTCATAAAGAGTAAATGAAAGTGGGACATGATGTTTACAAGAAGAAAGAGAAGGGGTGGGGAGAGGAGGAGAGAGAGAAACAGCTAAATCGCAGTTTCCTGACCTTTTTCTTTTTGCTCTCCTGTTTCAAGCTCTCTAAACTTTGTCCTCTACATGACATGGCGCATTCGGGTCTTCTTTGTTCCACATAGTGATGAGCCACTTAGAAGACGGAGGCTTTTTCTTGGGGAATGAAATATTCCTTTGTTGAGGAGGGCAAGCATTGGAGCAAATACTCTTCAACTTGTGCAGTGCACAACTGCAATTGCGATGGTATGGCCTATGCTCAATCTCCATATCATGCATTGATATACTTACTTCAATGACACTTCGAAGCATCATGGCAGCTATTCCAGTGGCCATTTCTCCTACCTCTCTTTTTCTCCTAAGCTTTCTTTGTAAAGGTTTGAGTGCGGGTGTGTATGTGTGAATTAAATTTCTTAAATTTTTTGCTTGCTTTCTGCTACATACGTTTTTTTGAAAGTGCTTTCTGTTACATATTTATATAGAGCAAAGATGGTATATCTTCACGGAAGTGTTGGAGTAACCAAGAAGAGAATTTTTGTTAGTTTCGTTACCTCATTGAGCTCAGGAGAAGTTTGCTATGGTAAATTCTTGCAAAAGCATTATTCTTTTTAGCTTTTGTTTTCACGTGGCCTTGTCAAAGTAGTTATGCAACAAGGCAATTGTTTTTTCTTTAGAAAATCAGCTTCTCAATGTGGGGCCTTAAGTTTTGCCCATACACACACATGGGAATGGGAGAGAGAAGGCCAGGACAAATAAATTATCTTGCTTTAGCGATCGTTGGAACTGTGGGATTTTAACATAGTTTTCTCCATAATAACGTCTTCTAACTAATCTCGTTACCAATTCTGTTGTTTGCTATGAATCACCATCTCGGTTTCTAGCAAGGTGTCACTGTCCTCTCTCGCTCTCTCTCTCTCTCTGTTACCTAATACCGGTAGAATAATAGTCATCTTAGGACATAAAATATAGTGTTGAACTTTGGCTTTTTTACAACAAGAATCATGGCGTTGCTTGATACGAGTATAAGGGCCCACTAGTACTTTCTAATTTGACCCTTTTCATCAGATGTTAACAATGATGGGCTCAATGGCTCTCTTACATATTCTTTTGTGTCATGCTTTGTTAGTACCAAGGCCATGTTGACAATGTTAGTTAAGTTAGGCAAGTCATAGTTAGGCAAGTCATAGTTAGGCATGTTTCCTTGTCTACCACCTGTCCTTGTTTTAGGGATTACTCTTCTTGAGCAATGTAATCCTTGTCTTAAGGGGAATGATTCATGGAATGTTTCATGGAATGTTTCATGGAATGTTTCATGGAATGTTTCATGGAATGTTTCATGGAATGTTTCATGGAATGTTTCATGGAATGTTTCATGGAATGTTTCATGGAATGTTTCATGGAATGTTTCATGGAATGTTTCATGGAATGTTTCATGGAATGTTTCATGGAATGTTTCATGGAATGTTTCATGGAATGTTTCATGGAATGTTTCATGGAATGTTTCATGGAATGTTTCATGGAATGTTTCATGGAATGTTTCATGGAATGTTTCATGGAATGTTTCATGGAATGTTTCATGGAATGTTTCATGGAATGTTTCATGGAATGTTTCATGGAATGTTTCATGGAATGTTTCATGGAATGTTTCATGGAATGTTTCATGGAATGTTTCATGGAATGTTTCATGGAATGTTTCATGGAATGTTTCATGGAATGTTTCATGGAATGTTTCATGGAATGTTTCATGGAATGTTTCATGGAATGTTTCATGGAATGTTTCATGGAATGTTTCATGGAATGTTTCATGGAATGTTTCATGGAATGTTTCATGGAATGTTTCATGGAATGTTTCATGGAATGTTTCATGGAATGTTTCATGGAATGTTTCATGGAATGTTTCATGGAATGTTTCATGGAATGTTTCATGGAATGTTTCATGGAATGTTTCATGGAATGTTTCATGGAATGTTTCATGGAATGTTTCATGGAATGTTTCATGGAATGTTTCATGGAATGTTTCATGGAATGTTTCATGGAATGTTTCATGGAATGTTTCATGGAATGTTTCATGGAATGTTTCATGGAATGTTTCATGGAATGTTTCATGGAATGTTTCATGGAATGTTTCATGGAATGTTTCATGGAATGTTTCATGGAATGTTTCATGGAATGTTTCATGGAATGTTTCATGGAATGTTTCATGGAATGTTTCATGGAATGTTTCATGGAATGTTTCATGGAATGTTTCATGGAATGTTTCATGGAATGTTTCATGGAATGTTTCATGGAATGTTTCATGGAATGTTTCATGGAATGTTTCATGGAATGTTTCATGGAATGTTTCATGGAATGTTTCATGGAATGTTTCATGGAATGTTTCATGGAATGTTTCATGGAATGTTTCATGGAATGTTTCATGGAATGTTTCATGGAATGTTTCATGGAATGTTTCATGGAATGTTTCATGGAATGTTTCATGGAATGTTTCATGGAATGTTTCATGGAATGTTTCATGGAATGTTTCATGGAATGTTTCATGGAATGTTTCATGGAATGTTTCATGGAATGTTTCATGGAATGTTTCATGGAATGTTTCATGGAATGTTTCATGGAATGTTTCATGGAATGTTTCATGGAATGTTTCATGGAATGTTTCATGGAATGTTTCATGGAATGTTTCATGGAATGTTTCATGGAATGTTTCATGGAATGTTTCATGGAATGTTTCATGGAATGTTTCATGGAATGTTTCATGGAATGTTTCATGGAATGTTTCATGGAATGTTTCATGGAATGTTTCATGGAATGTTTCATGGAATGTTTCATGGAATGTTTCATGGAATGTTTCATGGAATGTTTCATGGAATGTTTCATGGAATGTTTCATGGAATGTTTCATGGAATGTTTCATGGAATGTTTCATGGAATGTTTCATGGAATGTTTCATGGAATGTTTCATGGAATGTTTCATGGAATGTTTC